TGACCAAATGCAGGATTCGGTGCAGACCCTGATGCACGCTACTGTCCAGCCAGGAACTTCTCTTCCACTCCTGGGTAGCTGTGTTGGGACCTCCACTGCAGATGCCTTCTAGATTATTCTACCCCCAGCACTTCTTGGGCCTCATTTGATACTTTGGAGGTAAACAAAAACATGTACCCCCTCCAGGGTCTGTCAGGAGCCCTTACTCTACCTGAGTTCTTCAGTCTGAATGACAGAGAACTTGGCCTGGGGAGGTGAACACACAGGTGTGCACAGAGTCGTGCACAGACATGCAGAGAGCATGTGTGCCAAGATATACACAAGTGTGTGCACACACCTGCAGAGAGCTGGTAGGTCCATGTCTCTGAGGCAGTGCCAGACCCCTGTTCTGTCTTTTCCAGTTTGAAACTGAGAAGTGGAAGCTGGGTCAGGGGGAGGTCTAGGCTCTTTGCGGGCAGCATCCTGCCACCTTGAGCATCACATCTAGGCCCTGGCCACTCCCCCCAGGACCGTCCTGGCATCTTCTCAGCTGGCCTGGACCTGACAGAGATGTGCGGGAAGAACCCAGCCCACTACGCTGAGTACTGGAAGGCTGTGCAGGAGTTGTGGCTAAGGCTGTACCCATCCAACCTGGTGCTGGTTGCCGCCATCAATGTGAGTGTACCCACCCCACAGGGTCATCTGTGGCTCTTTGGGACCAACCTAGGGTGGGGGGCCAATACCACCTGGGCCAGAAATGGAAAAAGACCCACCCAGGGCTAGGGTAGTGGCTCAGCAGTAGAGCGTTCACCTAGCACATTTGAGGCCCTGGGTTGGATCCTCAGCACCACATAAAACAATAAATAAATAAATAAAATAAAGGTATAAAAAAAGTGTATCTTAAAGCAAGAAAGAAAAGAAAGAAAGAAAAAAAAAGACCCACCCGCTGCAGGCTGGGTCTGGAGGGAGTAGTGGGCCAAATCTACATTTTGGAAACATTGTTCAGCCAGTCTTGGGGAAGACAAGAGGCTGCAGAAGGGGACAGGGTCATCTTCAGGAATCATTGTGCTCCAGGGGATGGCTGAGATCACCCAGCAGGAGGGAGAGGGAGTAAAGGGAGGGAAGAGATGCTGGTGGCATAGTATAAATTTGGGGTTCCTGGGGAAAGCCACTTATTTTCCTAACCAGAGGTTTAGGAAGAGTGATTTTTCTAGCAGGGCATGGTGGCACAAGCCTGTAATCACCAGCTATTTGAGAGGCTGAGGCAGGAGGTTCAAAAGTTTGAGGCCAACTTGGGAAACTTAACAAGACTGTCTCAAAATAAAAGAGGCTGGGGGTGTAGGTGAGTAGTAGAGTGCTAGACTGGGTTCAGTGCGAGGCCCTTGGTTCATCTCCAGTACCAACAACAAGAAGTTAACAAGTGTTTTTCTGGCCCCTGAAAACCTGAGCCCCTGCAGAAACCCTTGCTACTGAGCCCTAAAGGGCCAGTTTCTTCTCTCCATCATGCACTTTCAAGGCAGATTGTTGATGCAGCACCCAAGGAGGGGGTGCTGGGGTACCCTGTGAGCTCATGCCCACCCCCAGGCCCTTCCTGGGGTATCCTGGGGCATCCTTGGGCCCTGGCCCCCTAGGGGACTGTTGGGACAGCAGCACCTCCAGAGCCCTCACTGTCTGGCCTCTCCCTGCAGGGAGCCTCCCCCGCTGGAGGCTGCTTGATGTCCCTTGCCTGCGACTACCGCATACTGGCGGACAACCCCAAGTACGTCATAGGACTAAACGAGACCCTGATTGGCATCATAGCCCCTTTCTGGTAAGGCCAGGACTGTTCCCACACTACTTGACCCTGGACTGAACACACCCTCCTTGGAGCCCCAGAGTAAGCAGGCATCTGCATTCCAGGTTCAAAGACATCCTGATGAATACCATCGGGCACCGAGCCTCAGAGCGTGCTCTACAGCTGGGGCTGCTTTTCCCACCAGCAGAGGCCCTCCAGGTGGGTATGGTGGACCAGGTGGTGCCTGAGGATCAGGTGCAGAGCACAGCACTCTCGGTGATGAGCCAGTGGATGGCCATTCCAGGTGAGGAGCAAGGGGAGCCGAGCAGGACTGCAGCACCCTCCCTCTACCTTCTCCTCCCCCCAGACGACCCATCTGGTGAGGTCAGCTCTGTGAATGTCCTGAACGTGTGCAGGGCTGCTCACAACAGCAGGCTGTGTTGGTGCCCTGGGGCTGCCATGACACAGGACCGTCTAACTGGCTTGAAGCCACAGAAAATTTACTCTCATGATCCTAGAGACGAGGTCCAAAATCAAAGTGCCATCAGAGCTCTACCAGCAGCTGGACAGGCAGGTGGCTGCAGGCATTCCTCAGCTGTGGCTGCATTGCTCCAGTCTGCCTACTTCCTCATGTGGCCTTGTCCCCCATGTCTCAGATCTTCCTCTCTCCCCTCAGGGCACCTGCCATCAGATTAGGGCCTTCTCTGTATCCAGGATGATCTCATCTTTATTTATTTTTGCAGTGCTGGGGGTGGAACCCAGGTCTCACAAGCCTGTACCCCTGGGCCACACCCCAGCCTTTGGGTCTCATCTCATTTATAGCTGCAGAGGGTTTTTTCCATGAAGGTTACTTCGCACATTCTGGAATGGGGTCAGGTCTTGGGCAGTAAGGTCACTTGGCAGGTTCTGGAGTGGGGTTGGAACTTGGGCAGTAAGGTCACTTGGCAGGTTCTGGAGTGGGGTTGGAACTTGGGCAGTAAGGTCACTTCGCAGGTTCTGGAGTGGGGGTCAGGACTTGAGCAGTCTTTTGGGGGTCCCACTGCTCTTCAGTCCACTACAAAGACAATCTCCCAGTCTGTTTATAGAAATAGGGTTGGTCACCTCAACCATGATACAGAGCAGGGACCATAGACCTTGTCCGTGAAGAGCCAGGCTGTTGGTCAGCGTGAGAGGCCACAGGCCCTGTCAAGTGGCCCTGCAGCAGGAGGGCACCCCAGGGAGCAGGAGCTGGTGGCTGCAGCTATGTTCCAGTGAAGTGCAGGACACAAAAATGAGTATCTCATTCTTCTTCTGTCATCATATGATATCCTTTCTTTTTTTTTCCTACTATTTAAAAATGTAAAGACCATTCATATCTCTAGAGCCAGTGGGGGCCCCCCGTCTCTTGGGAAGCCAGTTTGCCACCTCCCAATAGGAACAAACAATGAATATTTAGTGACATGGAAAATATTCTCAATAGTAAAATTCTGTGAAAATAACAGGCTAAAAAGCAACTTTTATAATATCATCCTAATTGTGTTTTGGAGAAATCAGTGGAAACAGGTGACTTCCTTCTATTTATTTTGGGGGGCGGGGGCAGTGCCAGGGATTGAACACAAAGGCACTTAACCATTGAGCCATATCTCTGTCCCTTTTTTTATTTTTTGAGACAGAGTTTCTCTGTTGCTTAGGGCCTTTCTAAGTTACTGAAGCTGGCTTTGAACCTGTAATCCTCCTGTCTCAGCCTCCCAAGCCAATGGAATTACATGCATGTGCCACCATGCTCAGCTCATCTGCGTTTTCTAAGTTCTCTAGAAGAGTTTCCATTTGAACACTCATAGAAAGATTGGGAATTATCCCACTATCTCCAAAAATGGGTTTTCACAGGGGATCCCATTTTCTTTAGACTACGCTCGACAGCTGACCAAGATCATGATGCGAAAGGCCACGGTGGACCACATGATCAAACAGCGCGAGGCTGACCTCCAGAACTTTATCAGCTTCATTTCCAGAGACTCCATCCAGAAATCCCTGCAGGTGTACTTAGAAAAACTCAAACAAAAGAGAGGCTAGGGTGAGGCTGCCACTTGGTCATTTGTGCCCTGTGGGGGGCCTAGTGGTCCCAAAGGGATTTTAAACAAGGTATTTTTTATTTTAAAAGTCCTCTTAGCTTTTGTTTTCCTCATCTTAGACAGAAAGTCCTGCTCCTTGTAGCCCTGAGTCTCAAGGCCCCATCACCACCGATGGCCATGTTTCTGCCAGGTAGGCAGATAGGATCTATACTTTAGAACTGAATGACAGGTAGGCTGCTCAGGGCCCTGGACAAGGTCACACTGAGTGTCCCTTTTCCCAAAGGAAAACTGAATAAAGTCTTCACATTGTCCCATTCCTGACCTTTGGCTGCCTGCTTGTTGGAGACCTTCAAAGCTAGGTAGTCTCAGACCCCAGTGACCCACAAGACCACTGGAGAAAAGCTCTTGGCCACCATGCTTGTTCATTTGGATGGAGGGTCTGGACAAACTTGGGAGGGACAAGGGAAGCATGGCTTATTCTGAGGCATGTGGTGCTGCCAAGGTCCACATCTTTAGAATTTTCCTAATTCTCCAATCTTTCATCTTGAGATGAAAGATTCCCCTGCCATACAATTCAGTTACATCCCCCAGTCCTGCCAGAATGAAGTGTCCCAACACCAGGAGCCTCCAGCCCTGCTCTTGGAGCTGCTCATCTGCTCCTGAGGTGATGCTTGTCCCACACAGGCCCCCATCCTCCAGGTCCCTGCTAGTCCAGGACTCCGAGGACCTACACAGGCTGTGCACAGGTGAGGTGTGTGTTCCTTGGGCAGGACCTTAGCCCCAAGCAACCAGCCCATCCTCAAGGGCTCCCAAAAGTTGCAGGGGAGCTGACTGGCTAGAGCATGGGACCAGCTTCCTGAGTCTCCCCTGTAACATGGGGTGAAACAGGGCTTCTGGTTCTGATAAGGCTCCCGACGGCAAGATGGGGAGAGCTCTACTCTTAGAGGGCCCAGCTGTGCTCACAGTGTGGGTTTTTGCAGTTTGCACAAAGAGGAGGGAACTTCCTTGAGCTGACTTCCCTGCCAGCATGGTTTGGAGGTGGCCAGTTTCCATGAGGACATGACTTGGGCAGGCCAAGCTGTCCCTGTTCCCTAAGAGGCCAGAGATCATGGACCTAACCAGGTTGTAGGGCCAAGGCTTGCAACGAAGAAGGGCTAAGTCCTAAAAAGAGACAGAGGCCTCAGAGTCAGCCCAAGTGTGGTCCTGGCCCAGTGGCTTGTTTATTACCCAGACATGTTCCAGGCACTAGCTAGGCACCTTTGGAGGGTACTCCTCACAACAACGCTCTGAGGTAGGTGGTGTTAGCCCTTCTTACAGATGGGACACTGAGGCTCTGAGTAGTACTGTAATGTGACTGTGCCACCCTTTCACACCCAGCTGACCCTTCCCTGCGTTCATTCTCCTGCTACCCCAAATGATCCACAGTGCTACCAAGTCTGCAGGTGATGTGCCCTAGCCTAGCCACAGGGCTGTCAGTGGGACTTGAGGGTCACCTCCACTGGAAAATGGTCACTGATGGCAAGAGCCTGAAAGAAAAGGGGACAGAACTTCAGCCATCCTGCTAGGCAGCTTGTTTCTTGTCCCCCTCCCCTGAATTGGAGCCACCTGGGTGTCCTCCCCTGAGGCTATTCCCAGACTGGGGATGGGAGGCACACCCTGAAGGTCTAGGGATCCTTGACTGTGAGTGCCCTTGTAGGGTGGGAAGTGGTAACTGTAAACCGTCTGTCTGAAGCAGGAACAGACTGGCAGGCCCTTGCAACCATGTATGCCAGGCTCTTCCAAGCCCAGGGATGGGAACTGCCCCTGCCCGCACCGACCTGGGCCTGGTCCAGGCCAAACTCTTCCTGGAAGTCATGCACCGAGGCTGACTGAGGCTTCAGGCTCCTGCGCAAGTGGGCGCCGCACACCACGATGCGGTCATAGGCACAGTCGGAGTTGCCCACCGTGGTGTCAGCGCTGTCCGGGATGAGCCACTTGAAGACCTCACTGCTGCGCAGTCGGATGGCCGCCCAGTCCTGTGCCCGTACGTAGTTGCAGTCCGCATTGAAATCGCCCAGGAAAACCATGTCCTGCGGGCGCCACCAAGCTGGGTCTGAGCTGCATGCCCGCAGGCCCAGACTCCCAGAGCTCGCCTACGGGACGCGGGGCAGGGCGCGAGGCTTACGTCGGTGCCCCACTTGTCAATCAGGTCCAGGTACACGTCGTAAAGGGCGTCGATCTCTGCCACTGCCTGGTGTGGCGCAGCGTGCAGTGGAATCAACACCAGCTCCTTGACAGCTGTGGGGGCGGGGCGGTGTTAGGGCGGGAGGGGACAGGATGGGATGGGAGTAGGGGCGGGGCTGGCCTCACCGGTGGCGGGGACCGAGAACTTGACCACGAAAGGTTCGCGGCTGAAGGCGTCCTCGGGGTCCGGGTACTGGTAAGTGTCCACAACCGACACTTTGTCTTTCCTGGGGGCAGAGAACCGGCGGTCCACTGAGCCGGCCATCTTGGCCCCGCACGCCCCCTCCCTGCAGCCCACAGGCACACCTGTAGATGAACAGGTACATTTCCTTGTACTGGTCCCGACCCAGAGGCTGGCTGCTCATGAAGCTGTATTCATGCTTTGACACGCTGTGGAGAGATATGCCAGGCCCCAGGTCAAGGCATGAAGCCTGTCCTCGCAGCAAGGGGTCATGGCGCTAGACCCTGCCCACTGCACCTGTTGATCTGCTCCATGAGCGCTGACACTGCGCTCAGGTCCGGGTCACGCACCTCCTGTACCAGCATGATGTGGTAACCAGCCAGGATCTGGCGGAGGAGACCGCGGATGCAGAGTTGTGAGCAACCCCAAGGACTGGCCCACAAAGCCCAGCTGCAGCCCCGCCCCCAGCCCCCAAGCCTCACCTGCGCGATGATGCTGCCACAGGCTGGGTCAGACACTTTGCTGTCACCAAAGCTCTGGATGTTGAAGGCTCCAATGCGCAGCGCTGCTGCCCCTATGGCCCACAGTGCCCAGAGCATTGCCAGCAGGACCCGGGGCCTGCCCATGGCACCAGGGAGGTGGGCTGGAAAGGACAGATGGAATGGGCCAGCAACACCAATCCTCACCCAGCTATGGTCCAGGAGGGGTCTGTGACCCAGCACTGGCCTGAGCAAAAGCACATTCTATTGCACTTTCCAGGTCTCCTCAGAATGGGTTCTTAGCCCCATGACCAGTCTCCCACCGAATGGAGAAACTGAGGTCCCAAGTCAGGATGCCATTCCCACCCAGTCCCCAGTTCAACTCAGCCTCAAAACTTACCTGGATGTGGATAAGAGGCAGTGTCAGAGGCTCAGGGGTCCTGGTCCAAGGAGGGATACAGGTTCCTTCTGGGGGCCTGTGGCTGGCCCTGGACAGACTTGCCCGGTCTTGGTTGACAACTGGCTCTGGCCCCAGGGCACTGGCTACTATTTGAGGCCCTGGTTCAGGAAGGGGCTGGGCTATAACTGAGCCCCACCCCCTCCAGGGAGTGGATGCTACAACTCCTGACTCCCATTCTCATGGAGACCCCCCAGAGGGCAAGAGAAAGAACCCACATTGAGCAAGTTCTAGTGCCCAGGTCTGTCCCAAAACATCCCCAAAGCCCCTGATAGCCCCCCCAAGGCAGTCTCAGGATTGTGGTAGAGGGACAGCCACACCCATGGTCCAGGCTTGTTCTTGTCTCCACCTTCCCAGAAACTAGGTCACCCAGTATCTGCCTTCTTGAGCCACATCCTCTTGGAACAGGCAGCACGACAGTAAAGACCAGTCCCATTCCTGGCCCAGCCTCTCTTGCTGCCTGGTCAGTACTGTCTTCACCTCCATGAAAAGCTGAGGCTTCTCAGCCCAACCTGAGGCTCCTGGTTCTCTCAGCCTTCCAAAGGCAGCTGTAGGTAGGAGGCTGGGAAGCAGCACCTGTCTCCTCCCCCTGCCCCAGGCCTGGGGAAGCTGGGATCACAAGTGGGCAGGGAGTGGCAGGAGGCTGCCCATCAACATACCAGAGACACCCACACACCATTGAGGCACCAGGGCTGGCAGAAGCCCTGAGTTACTGGCCAGGCACAGAAACCTAGAGGACTGCCTGGGCATATGGGGGCCACCAGCAGTACCTGTGAAGGCAGTACCAGGCCCCAACATCACAAGCTACATATTTTATTCATGTTTTATTGTAAAGAAACAAAAACCACATATTTACATTCCCCATCTGATTTGAACACCTGAAATTCTGGGCAGTCTTCTCTACCAGGCCAGGCAGTCCTGGGCACTCAGGTCGGGACCAGTATAAGGATAACCCTGTCCCTTTCCCAGCCTAGCTGGGACCCCACAGGTCCCATGCTAGACGATGACCGTCTGTACCTCAAGCTGGCCCTCTGGTGAGGCAATGACCAGCTCGCCTGCATGCTCAAGGATCTCAATGTCCTCTGATGACACCATTGTTACAGTAGCCTGTTCAGTGCCGTTTGCACCTGTACGAGCCGCAAGCACAGTACCCTCACTGATGGCTGAGGCCAGTGTCATGGCCACCTGCTCAGTCAGGCTCTCGGGGGTGGCGATGGTGATCGTGTCTGCAGCAGCTGCCTCTGGACCCAGTCCTGCCTCCTGGTCCATGGTCACATTCTGCACGATGATCTGGTGCCCAGCGCTGGCCTGGTGCACAATCTGCTGCACCACCTTCATGATGTGGCTGTCCACCTGCAGGGCCACAGCTCAGCCCAAGGTGTCCAGGAGGCCAGGCTGCCCTCCCACTCCTTGCCAAGCCCCTCACCTCTGTCTGGGTGCCCTCAATGATCTCTGTGGCTTCAGTGGTCTCTGTGTCATCTGCAGTGGCCTGGGCAGAACATCTGAGGTCAGCTTGGGCTGTCCCAGTGCCATCCCAGCCCCACCAGGCCTGCCACGCACCTCGATGATGTACTCCTGGGTATCGGCCACCACAGATGAGAACTCTACCAGCACTGTGTGGGGGTCCTCCTCAAGCACGGTGGCAGCTGCTGAGGGGCTCTCTTCTGACACCAGCACCTCTTCCACCTCCAGAAGGCAACCCCCTGCCAACAGGAAGCTCAGTCAGGGCTCAGTGACCCCCAGCCTCACCTCCTCCCACCATCTGCCAGCCCAGACCTTTGGTGCGCAGGTGCCGGTTAAGTGTGCCATGCTCAGCAAAACCACGGCCACACTTGTAGCATTTGAAGGGCTTCTCGCCTGTGTGATGCCGCACATGCCGCACCAATGAGCCTTTCTCCCGGAATCCTCGGCTACAGAATTGGCACACATGTGGCTTCTCCTCCAAGTGTGTTCGGAAGTGCACTTGCTGGGCATTCTGCAGAAACCAGTCCATGACAGCCTGACCTTGGCCACAGGAAGCCAGGGCTCTCCCCACCCACCCCTGGCCTGAGCCAACTGAGTAGGCTGGGGTAAGGAGGGAAGTTGGGGCACAGAACAAGGCCCATCTGGCCCCAGGGACAGGGAGCTGAGGATGGGGTCAGCGCCAGGACCCTGGGGCCGGAAGCCCACCTTTGTCTTGTAGCGCTTGCCACACTGGGGACAAGGGAAGGGCCTCTCATCTGAATGGACGCGCCGGTGGCCGCGCACGTGGGCAACGGTCTTGTAGAGCTTCCCGCAGTCCCCGCAGCGGAAGCGGCGCTCGTGCACGTGCGCCTCCTGGTGCTTCCTGAGTAGATAGGCCTTGGGGAAGGCCTTGCCACACTGCACACAGGGGAAGGGCCTTGGCCCTACGGCCAAGCCAGCATCAGCCAGGCCCACTGCCCACACCCCACCTGCTCCTCGCTGTCCACGGACCCATCCACCCTCCTGCCACCCACCTGCATGGCCTCTCTTATGGGCCTCCAGGGTGGCTGCTGTTGGGAAGGTCTCACTGCATTGAGGGCATGGGTGGGTCTTGGGCACAGTGGAAGCCTCGCTGGACATCTGCTGGGGAATCACAGGCAGGCATCTAACACCCACTGCAGGCTCTGCCCCTGCAGTGCCAAAGACAAGGCCCAGGGCCCCATCCTGGCAGTCTCCCTCACAGCACCAGAGAGGGCAGAAATAGGCCAGTGGACAGTCACTCCAGAAAGCAATGCTACTTTATGCCACAGGCAGTGCAAGGAGGCACCAGTGTCCTACCCACAAAGGAGCATCCCAGCAGCACAAACACCTACTGTCTCCATCGGCTCCACTTCCAGCAGTGGCAATTCCGGGGATCTATCTCCCAGGGGCTGTGGACTGGACTCAGAGGCAGGGGCTGCTTCCAGGGCACCCTCCTCCCCAGCAACTCTCTCAAGAACAATGCCAGAGTTCTGCATGGCCTGATGCAGCAGGTTTTCACGACTGCCCTCACGAGAACAGGGAAGCTCCTCAGGAGCTGGGGGCTTCAGGGAGGCAGAAGGAGAGAGGCTGCCACACAGCCCAACACATAACACCCACCCTTCCCACCACACAGGGCAGACCCATGCCAAGCCCAGGGTCCCCCAAGGTCTTATGTACATCCTCAGAATCTCATAGAATGAAGCCAAGTCCTCCCCTGTCACGCCTTGACCCCCAGGTCACTTTCCTTCTGACAGGCTATTTGCTAAGGAGCTTTCCCACCTCCCCTGCAAACAGACAGCTATAGAGGTAGACCCAAACCTCCTATTCCTATTGGAGCCAGTGCCCTACACACAACCTGGCACTGAGCAGGCAGAAGGGAAGCGGCACTGCAGGGCTCCTTGAGCCAGCCCCTACCTCTGGAGCCAAAGCTTTCATGCCCAGGGGCAGCTCCTGCATCTGGACATGGACTTCATGGATGACGGTGCCCTTGGCATCTGTCACCAGGTGAATCACAGGTGATGTCTCCATGGATTCGCCTGTCACTGATGATGAAGTAACCGGCCCCACGGTGGAGGTGCCTGACCCTTTAAGGCAGAGTCAAGTGAGTCTCTGAAGAACACCCCCACTGGTGGCACCTGGGCCCGCAGCTAAGGCCAGGAACAGCAGCTCCAGGAACCCAGGCAGCCTCCCCACCACGTTCACCTGCAGATACGTCCTCTTTGCCCACAACCACATCCTTGCTCATGCTGAAGCGGATTTTCTCTGTGCATGGGGTGAGAGACTTGAGGTGACGGGTCAGCGCACCCGATTCCCGAAAGCTCTTCCCGCACTTGGTGCACTTGTAGGGGCGCTCATCTGTGGAGAGAATGGAGTCAGCCCTGGGGTAATGACAACCTGTAACAAGGATGAGGCGGGCATGGAACCCCTGCCACTTCGCCAGGGAGCTAGGGACACAAGGCTTGGGTAGGGTGTCCCCAGGGCCATGCCCCAGGCTGCTCACCAGTGTGCCGTCGGTGGTGCCGGATGAGTGAGCCCTTGGTCCGAAAGGAGGCCCCGCAGAGCTTGCACTCGTGGTCCTTGCGGCTGCTGTGGGTGACCATGTGGGCCTTGAGGATGCTGCCCTGCAGGGGAGGGGCAGCAAGGCTCAGGGCACCTCCCCAGACAGGAGCAGGCAGGAGGCCTGGCCGGCCCGTGGCCCCAGGGGCTCACCGTTTTGAAGGTCTTGTGACACAGCATGCACACGTAGCGGCCTTCCTTGTTCACCAGCAGCTTGACTTGGGCCTGCTCGCCCTCCCCAGCAAGCCCGAGCCCCTGATGGTTGGGACTGCCTGGGGCCTCAGCCATCTCGTTGTTCCCTGGCTCTGCCTCAGCAGCCACAATGACCTCTTTGATGTGCCCACTGCCTAAGGAGAGGCAGGTCAACATAAGCCTTGGGCTGCACCACAGCCCTGCCTGCAAGGATTCCTACAGAGGGAGACTTCTAAATGCCCTGGAACTGTCCAGACCATCCCTGCCCCTGGCATGGGAACTGCTGCTCTGGGCTAAGCCCCAGAGCCAACCAGCACTGAGGAAAATCAACACAGAGGCCCCAAGGGACCAGCAGGGAGCTGCTCAGCCTGAGGTCAGCCTGACAGGGTAACAAACCCCCTCCATGAAGTTGCTTGGAGGAGATCCAGCACTCCCAGAATGCACCTAGTGGAGAGACCCACCACGAGCAAAGTTGCCCCTTCCCCTAAGCCAAGGAGGGGGTTGTGGGTCCTGGCAACAGGTGCCTGGGCACAGACAGGATAAACTAGCCCAGTTCTCTGCATCTGTCCTGCTGACTGCACCAATCCCACTAGGGAAAAAGATGTTTCAGCTCATCTTCTGATTAGGATGCTGGTGGACAGGCAGGCAGGCAGGCCCAGTTGGAGCCTTGTCCCACCACAAGCTGGGGATACCAGGAGATGGGAGAGTGTGAACACTTCCCAGATAGCCCCAAGAACAGAAGGTGGAACTGGGCACAATGGCCATGCCTGTGATCCCAGCAACTCAGGAGGCTGAGGCACTAGGATCATGAGTTTGAGGCCAGCCGCAGCAACTTAGACCCTGTCTCAAAATAAAAAAAACAAAAAGGGCTGGGGGTGTAGCTCAGTAGTAGAGCACCCCAGGTTCAATATCCAGGGACACACATACCCCGAAAAAGAAACTTGGGATTTTGCACTTGTCATGGGGTGCTGAAGATATCTGACAATGTGCAAGACTAGGCCATAAACACGCTTCCCATTGCCTGTTTGTAAAAGTGACAAGTGGGAAACAGCTGTGAAGATGCCTCCTAGAACCCTCTCTGTCCAGCTGGAGACTTGTTGTGACAAGTCATTCTCTCGAAACAATAAAAACACCCTGACTCAGAAACAACTAAGGGCATCTCTTGCCCATGCCTGGCTGACACACGCAATGCCACAGGAGTATCTTCCCAGAGGACAGAGACCTGATGGGCAAGGGACTGAGGGGAACACAGCTACACCAACCCAAGAGGAAACCAGTTTGTGTCCAAAGCAGTAGCAGGAGGGGCTGCCACCCCTTAGTCCTTGCTGACTGCACCCTGTACCCAAGAGGACTGAGCCCAGCACAGCAAATCTTCCTCACTGCCCTTTCCCTACCTAAGACCAATAGAAATGCTGGTAGCTCTTGGCTCCTGCCCACCCAGGAGGCCTGCAAAGGGGGACATTTTCAAGTGTGCAAGAGACAGGAGTAGGGCTGGGGTTGTGGCTCAGTGGTAGAGCACTTGCCTAGCATGTGCGAGGCACTGGGTTCGATCCTCAGCACCACATAAAAATAAATAAGTTTTTAAAAAAAAAAAAAAAAAAAAGAGACAGGAGTACCCAGAGATGGACCCTTGAAGTACAAGCCATGGCTACCATCCCAAGCAAAGGCTTAGAACCACTGGAGGTCAGAGGTAGGTGGAAAGGGCCTGACTGGCCAAAGGCCCAGAACCTGGACATGCTGCTGGAATGTAGGGAACTTGTTTTCCCAAATGACACCACCTATCTCAGAAACCAAACTCTGTGCCAAGGCCAGAGCACAGCCCCACCCCCACATGACACAGGACATTCCTAAGCCTGAGTGGTAATAAGAAGTGTCTCTGTCTTGGGAAAATCAGAGGAAAGACGGTGTAGAGACCAGGACAGGTGTCCCAGCCTCCTCCCTGGGGAGGCTTGCCCATTCAGAGACTCCCCTTCCCAAACCAAAGGCTGGCCTCCCCTATACAGCTTCCCTCTTCCTGCCCCAACCAGTCCCCAGTACTTCCCAAGGCCAAGTCCTACCTGTTGCCCAAACCTACTTCCTGTCCAGCTACCCACTCATCCACCTGCCTTGGCCCCTACCCAGCAGGCACTCCAAGTACCAACAGTTCCCTCCCAACTTCCCACATCAGACCCTACCCAGCTACTCATCCCCACCTGTCCAGGCCTGGGCTGCCCTTTGAAAGTCCCCCCTGCACACTCAGTGGTCCCCACTTAATGAGCACATAACCCAATCCAGACCTGGCTACACCCCCTCTCCCAGTGCAAATCAGCAAGGCATTTAAATTTAAAACACAGCCATCAAAGAGGCTCAGCGTCATATGCTCATAAAAGCCCTGTGAGACCATGCTGATGAAAGCACTGGGAAAGGTCAAGGTCAGGGAGCATGTTGGGGCCAGCTGCAGCAGCAACTCCACCCCACACCTACCCTCCAAAACCAACTGCTGGGGTGGGTGGGCCATTCAGGGATTCCCCATGCTGGGTACTGGGGGGGGGGGGGGGAGAAAGCAGGAGGTGGCTGATAAGTGATAGGAGGGCAGAGACAGCCTGGGAAAACATGGAGAAGAGAGAAACCAGCTCATGAAGGAGCTCCAACCAACTCATGTGCAAGCTACTGCAGATGCAGCAAGGAATGTCCTGGTCCCCTCCTGGCAAAGCCTGGCATCTGATACACCTTCCTCCTGTAGGCCCTGCCTGGGGAGGCTCACACCAAGCCTCCACCCCTTCATGGCTAGGCCAGCTCTCAGGAGAGCAGAGGTACAGACAGCTATCAGACCGATGACACCTTAGGCAGCTGGCTTACCAACAAGGTCAGGAGCGTGGCTGATATCTGCTGCTAGAGAGGCTGCCTCCACCACAATGTGGGCCACGGTGATGGGCTCTTCTGGGCCTGCTGCTGCTGGCACCACCTATCGACAGGGGACAGGGGACAGAGAGGATGCATTTGTGGTCTCCAGAATTTCAAGGGAAGGGCCTGGGCTCCCTTGCAGTAAAGTTTTGAAGAAGTAGGCTTGGGGAGTACAGACCTGGTCCATGTCCTCCAGGATGGCTGGGGTGGGGACGCTGCTCTTTCCCCAAAGGCCCACAGCCCCTGCAACCCGGGGCTTGAGGGTCGGGCCCATCACTCTAAGCCTTGAGTCACCATGGTCTGGACATGGAGCATGGAGCACTGAGCACCCACTAGGTAATCACTAGCAACGCTGGTACAGAGCTGGGCTGTGGTGAGGAATGGAGTTGCAACACCCATACCCACAGCCCCAGCCAGGTCAGAGGAAGGGCCCTGGGGCTGGGGAGGGGACAGAGGGTAAAGAGCACAAGGTCTGACTGAAACCACCCTGTTCAAGTGTCATCTGAACCATTCTCTGATGGTGGCCTGAGGCCACTGACTTCTTGAGCCTCCTTTCTTGATTCTGTCCCATGAGGATGGCAAGCACTCCCTCTGTTGAGCAGGGGTGCTATGGAAGGTCGTAAGACGACATACAGCTCCAGCACACCGTGGGACTCAACAAAGTGCACCATTTTTATGACAAGGTGGCAAGCCCCACGGGACCCTGCTTGGTTTGTGAGATTCCCAGAAATTATGTATATAAGACAGGAGGCAAGCCAAAAAAGACAAAAGCCACCATGATACTACTGTTGCAGGAAGCAGCATTTATTAGTGCCAGCCTTGCCCAGAGGATCTATATCCTAAGCCAGAGCACAGCGGACTATTGCCATCTATACCATTAATCCCTGGTTACATGTCAGCCCCTTTGTCTCTCCTATATGGTAACATACATTCTGACTGGGTAACTGCATATGTGTGCCATGTGGTCCCTTTGCTCTGGGGATACATGTGCACATAGCTACTGAGTGCATCATATCACTTCTCTCTGTCTGGGAGAGTCCTTACCACAGTCCCCCTTTTAATGCTCAGATCCCCTCAGGGTCAAAGAGCATCATCCTGATCCAACAACTTATATTTCCATAACATCAAAACATAATATGGGGGCTGGGGTTGTGGCTCAGAGGTGGAGGGTTTGCCTAGCATGCTTGAGGCGCTAGATTCGATCCTCAGCACCACATAAAATAAAGATATTGTGTCCACCTATAATTAAAAAATAATTATTTTTAAAAAACCCACAATGTGGCCATTTTCCTTTCGAAGACAGCTTCCATGAGACTGGAGATAGACCTCATAACCACGGGTAGCAGGCAAGAGTAAGCAGACCCCAGCACTAAAACCACAACACTTATGAAAGTTTTGAAACCCCCAAAATTTGAAAACATCCTCCAGATAATTCCCCAGGATTCCAACTTTTCCAGATCTAGAGAGAGACATGGGTGATCTTTCTTGTACAATCCATGATTTTTTCCATGACCTTGCCTTCAACATCTATTTGTACACAATGGTTGCCTAAGTTAAATTTCCCACATACTCCACCTTCAGAAACGAGCAAGTAGTCTAGAGCTAAGCGATTTTGATAAATAAATAGCATTATACATTTGTTTGGTCAATAAGTTGAGGGCTCTTGCAGTTTCATTAGTTATAATTTCAACTACAGCCTGTAGCTTGATAATAATGTTTAACATACAGATGGGAGTACAGGTGGCAAGGCATAATGGTGAATTATCCTTTCAGGAGGACATTCATCATCTTTCCAGTTTTGGATTTCCAGGGCTTGCCACTCACTTTGGGCCCGTTAGTCTTCATATACAGGGACTCACAACTGCTCCCCTTTAGCTAATGGAAGGAGAAAAAGGAGGGGTGAATTGTCCCAGTATACAAGATCAGGAGCAGAACTGGGGTAGTCTAGCATGGCAGGCCCTTCCACATACCTAGTACAGTCCACCAGGGTTCTCCATTTGATATCTATGCCGGCATTATCCCAGCCCTGTTTGAGGTTAGGGAAATTTGACAGAGTGTGGGATTTTCTTCTATGTGATTTTGAGGATCCCTACCACTGGATTTTCTGAGTAGGTATATTATAGAATTTTGTGCCCAGACATGGTAAAGTTCCAGCTGAGATGTTAAACTGTTTGCCCTCTCAGGTAAGACAATATTTCCCAATAATTGAGATTTTCAGGAACCAAACACCAGTAGTTGAATGAAGAGACACTGTTTCACTACAGGGCTCATGAAGGTCCTCCACCCACTAGCAAGAAGAGATATTCAGAGATTGAACTATAGTTTCTGCTAAGGCTAGAAACAGGTTTCTGGTTGTGGAGGAGATGGGGAATTCAGTTTTCATCTCTTCATAAAAGGAATGAAAAATTTGGTGTGGGGAAGTGCAAGTGCAAGTGCGCCTTTTTTTGGGGGTGCTTAACCACTGAGACACAACCCCAGCCCTTTTTTGTATTTTATTTATAGACAGGGTCTTGCTGAATTGCCTAGGGCCTAAGTTGCTGAAGCTGGCTTTAAACTCACAATCCTCCTGCCTCAGCTTCCCAAATCACTGGGATTACAGGTATGCACTACTGTACCCAGCCAAGTTGGTACCTTTGATGTGTATTGGGACCTAGGGGTTTGTGTCCCACCCATATACAACTACACCAATTTTGTGGCCAATTTTCCATCTTGAATCCCCTAGGTCAAGGATAGTAAAATTAAGAGGGTTACAGGCTCCTGAATTAGAGCTGAGCATGGCATCACCCTTTTGGAGAATTGGTGTGTTACATTTACCTGCCAAGTAGACCATGAAACAGCTCCAGGAGGGACAGTAACCACTGTTATTAATGCATCCAGGTTCAGCTGAGGGCTGCTAACATGCTTTTATCATAGAGCCTGTACTCCCGTTCCCAAGATAACCCCCCACAAACCTCTATAGACCATGAAGATCAGTACTTATCTATGACTTCACACATGTCAAAGAGCACCGACACTAGATGCTTGGGATCAATAATTTGGGATCAGTTAATTATTTGACCCATATTGTCACTGCTTCAGATCTCTAGCCACTCCTCAGTTGGGGAGTACTGTGGGTCAAAACAAGTGTATTGGACCCCTTGCTAGTAGACAGAATAGGTGATCTTATTATGTTTTACAGGTCCCTGAAACTTACTTGACAGTAAAAATGGATATAATAAAGTAGGGTTGTGGCAATGGCTCACCTGATCAAGTCATGTGAAGGTTTGGGTCACAGAATGAAGAACTTAAGTCCACAAACAAGAGCTAGGTCAGACATAGCCAACAGCAATGAAACATCCTATCAAAAGGAGGTAAAAGACTGCTCATAGAGACTTCTAAACCTAGTGCCAGCTGGCTAGAGCAGCCTCTGCTAATCCTATTGTGAAAATTAAAGCTAATGGTTTGGGGATACAGCTCAGTTGGTAGAGTGCATGCCTTGCATGCACAAGGCCATAGGTTCAGTCCCCAGTACCACCAAAAAAAAAACAAACAAACAAAAAAAATTAAAGCTAAGAAGATCACAGCAAAGAGATGGACAAGAGGTGACCATGCCAAATCATTACAGCAAGGAGGCCAATAAAGGAAATAAGAACAGTCCATTTATCCCAGCAGGTGATCAGTTCCTCAAGCTTCTGCTGGGGGTAGATTAGTCATCAGCTCCCACTTGACTAAAGCAGGGCTGTTGTCCGTAGGCTCTCAGATGGCTGACTTGCATAGTACAGCAGGCTCAGGAATACTCCCAGTCAGGAGAAGCTGGTTTCATTCTGCTGTAGTGAATCCAGAGGACCATCTCACCCATCTTCACTAGTCCTAGTATAGGTGGATTTCCTGACACAGGTAGATTAGCTTTTACTTTAGAATTCAGTTCATTTGCCCACCTTCTCAGAGCTCTCGGGACAGTATGTAGTATGTAACTTCCAGGTGATCTTCAACCCTTTTGCCACCAATTGTACCACCTCAGCCACGAACATCAGCTCATTTTCTAATCCCATGGTGACTGGGATTCCAAACCAAGGAATGATTTCCTTTAGGAGAAATCAGGCCACTTCATGTGCCTTCTCTGTGTGAGTAGGAAAGGCCTCTATCCAGCCTGAGAAAGTACACACAAAGACTAGAAATGCTTATAGTTTCAGACCCGGGGAGCTCAGTGAAGTCCACAATTATATCTTCAAATGGGGCCCCTCCAATGCTTTGCACCCCAGAGGAGGCCTTTGATCCCTGGTGCAGATTATTTCAGGCACATGTTTCACATTGTTCGCACACCATTCGGGCATGCTGGAGAGCTGGGGAATGTAGAAATGTTGGCTGGATGTGGCCTCAAGTGCTGTCCAGCCAACATGGGTCTCAGTTTTAAACCAGGGGTTCTCATGTTGTAACTGGGGTCCAGTTTTGCCAACAGACTAGGAAATAGGGTGGTAGTTTGGGCCATTGGTTCTGTTGCCCCGTTGGAGGCCATGAACTTTGCCTCTTGGTCTGCTTTATGATTTCCCTGAGCAACCATGATGCTTCCTCTTTGATGTCCCTGACAATGCATGACTGTCACCTGTTTAGGAGCGCATTTAGCATCTAAGAGTTCAAGGATTTCTTTGCCATACTTTATGTCTTTCCCTAATGAGTTGATTAGGCCCTTTTCTTCATACAAAACTCGGTTATGTGGAGAGTGGTGAAGGCTCATTTAGAGTCTGTGTATATATTGGCATGTATCCCTGCCACCAGTTGAAGGGCACAGGTCAGCGCAGTAAGTTCTGCTTTTTGTGCCAAGGTTCCTTTTGGCAGAGGTTTTGCCTCAATGGTGAAATCTAGGGTCACCACAGAGTACCCAGCAAGGTGTTCTCCCTCTTCCACAAAACTGCTACTATTGGTGAAGCATTCAACATCAGGACCTTTAAGAGGCTGGTCTGTTAAGTCCGGTCCACTGGAAAATACCTCATCCATAACTTCAACGCAGTCATGGTATGGTCGACCTGCCCCTACAGGCAGTAGGGGTGTAGGGTTTAAGGTCCACACTACTTCTAGGTGGATGTGCGGATTTTCACACAGCCTTCCCTGATATCCAGTCAACTAGGCATCAGTCAGCCAATATTGTCCCTTAATCTTTATGTCAGCACTGAGTATGGCACTCGAACATTTAATTCTTGTCCCACAGTCAGTTTGTCACCTCTGATGCCAAGAGGGCCATGGCCACCAGCACTTGTAGGCAGGGTGGCCGGCCTCAGGCTACAGAATCAAGTTGCTTAGAGAAGTATGCCACTGGATAATGCCATGACCCAACATCTGAGTCAGGACTCCCACTGAAACCCCAGTACACCTGTGCACATACAAAAAGAAAGGCTCGGACACATCTGGGAGTCCCAAGCCAAGTGCGTTGGTGAGGATCTTCTTGATTTCCTCAAAGGCCTTTTGTTGAGCTCATTCCATAAAAAGGTTCTCCCTCTCCCTCCTTGTGGCCTCATAAAGGGGTTTTGCAAAGATAGAGAAGTTAGGTATCCAGAGTCTACAGAAACCTGCAGCCCTGAGGAACTCCTGGACCATTCTCAGGATATTCCCACTGAAAGATGATGACTGCTAGACTCGGAGGGACCAGGTATATACACAAGAAGGCATCCTTGACTTCCAGGCATGTAAGTTAGGCAGCTTCAGTAGGGATGAGGCCCAGGAGAGTGTAGGGGCTAGGGACAGCAGGACATAGGGTAACAGCAGCCTGGTTTACTGCTCGTTGGTCCTGAACCAGCTGATAGTCATCTATTCCTGGATTTTAGACTGGCAGGAGAGGTGTGTTCCAGGATGACTGGCAGGACTGGAGGATTCCATACTTTAGAAGTCTCTCCAGTTGTCTCTGGATCTCAATTTGTGCCTTGCAAGGAATGCAATATTATTTTTGGCACTCAAGGCCAGCCCCTAGCTACTTCTACTACTATTGGGGGTATGTTTCAGGCCAGTCCTAGAGGATTCTCTTAGCCCACACCCCAGATACTCTGAAAGGAAGCTCAGATCCCTGTTGTGGCCTTTCCATGAGAATGCAGAGGCACCACTCTTCTCCTTTGGGGACCAAGAGAGTCAAGATCTTTACTTCTGGCTTTCCTAGAATCAGGGTGGCTTGGCCATGAGAGTTAAAAGTTATCTGGGCCTGCACTTTCCCAATGGGTCCTGACCACTAAAGCCACAAGACAGTCAGGGAGGTATAGGAATTCATGAATAACTTCACAGAGGCCTAAACTGCACCAGCAAGACAGTAAGAAGAAGCAACAAGCTCAGCTGCCTGTGGCTCCCACTATAGAGGTTTGTCTCAGGTTAATTCACCACTGAATATTCTGCCCCAGTATCAACTATAAGTCCATGGTCCGGCCCCCCATGATCATATGGACCATAAGCTCCTGGGGGCCTAACATAATGAAGTCCAGTCTGTCCTAGTCTTCCTCAAAGTTTTCCATGGCAGCCAATCCACAAAATCATCCTCAAGGACTTCATATGGTTGCCATGGTAGTTGGTTGTCCTTGAACCACTCAACCGCTCCTGCTTTGTCCAGGGACTGCGTGATAATCCTCTGACTATTGGGGACACTCACTATTCCAGTGACCTTAACAGCAATGAGCACACTTGTTTCATTCTAATGTCACCTTTGGGTAAGGTGGTTCTTCTTGTTGGCTCCCTCTATGGCCTCAGCTCTGGCCCAATAGGACACTTCTCTGGGAGTGCCCTGACCATTCCACCAGGGTGGTAGCAAGCAGACCTACCTTCTTTTTCATTTTCCAGTGTACCTCATGTCAGGCTTCTTGGTCTTGGTTGACAAATACTTTTGTCACAACTTGCAGTAGTTGGCTGGCATTCATTCCAATGAAGCCCTCTAGCCTCTATAGCTTATGCCATATGTCTCCCTGGGTCTGACCAACAAAGGCTGCATGAACCACTGGCTAACTTTCATCTGCTTCTGAGTTGAAGAGGATGTAAAAACAGAACATTTCACATAGCCTCTCATAGAATTGACTAGGGCTTTCTTCTGGTCCCTGGAGCACCTCTGAAGTCTTTCTTGCTCATGTTCACGGCCTTCCTTCCTTCTTCCTTCATGCAGCCTAAAACATCCTCTTGATAATGCTAAAGCATCTGAAATCCTTGGTCATCATTAGGGTCCCATGAGAGATCTTCCTCAGCGATCTGACTCTGAGCGTAAGCCGGGACATTCATGCTTCCTGCTGGGGCAAGTTCCTCCAACCACTGTAACAACTTTAATTGGGTGGCATTCTTCAGTGTTAAATAGAGTCAGGAGTAACTGGCGACAATCAATCCAAGTGGGCTTGTGGGTCTGAATAATGGATTGCATTAAATCAATCATAGTCTGAGATTTGTCAGTGAAGGAGAGGATTTTTCCAATTCAAGAGATCAGTGGAAATAAAAGGCTGTCCTGTCCCCTTTGTACCTGAGAGTGTACCATGGGGTGGCTATAGTCGGGGCATTTTGGTGGCCTCAGGGGTGTGGCCTCAGGGCTCCAGCTGCAGGAGGCACGAGGAGTGCAGGCAGCAGTGGAGAAAGCAGTGGTGTGCAAGGCACAAGAATCCCGCTGGCTCCAGCATCTTGAAGGGGCCATCACTGGGCGATCATGATCTAATAGCTCCCTCCCAGAAAGGAAGCCTCAGCCAGCGCAGCTGAGAGAAGACTATGTCTTGCCAACAGTCAATGCAGGAGAATGGGTCCCTACAATGACCCTAAATACCTTGATAAATAGTTCTTTATCTAGTGACCTCTTGGACGGCCAACCAAAAAAGGTCAATCTATTTCAGAGAAAGCCTAAAGCTTCCTTTTTGAAATTTTTAGTCATATACTCTAGGGGGGTAAACTTACTCTGTTTGCCACCTATTTCCTCCCCCTAAGAGATGACAATCACATACATAAGAAGGGAAAGGGGGGCTGGGGTTGTGGCTCAGTGGTAGTGTGCTCGCCTAGCATGCACGAGGCACTGGGTTTGATCCTCGGCACCATATAAATGTAAAATAAAGATATTAAAAAAAAAAAAAAAGAAGAAGGGAAAGGGGAAAGGGGTAAGAAAGCCAACTCTGGCAGCTCCTCATGGAGATATTTCAGGCACCTTTTAGAATTGGCAGCCTGACCCAGACCAGGCTCGTAGACCTTGAAGAGAGCCTGGCACTGCTCTAAGCCATATGACGATCACCAGAATTCTGCACTTGCTTCGGGCTCAGCCTGTTTCATTCAGTCACCATTCACTCGCATTCAAACAGTGCCTCCAATCTGCAACCCAGTACGTTAAAAGCACAGTTTAATTCATGAAATTGAGCTATTCAGTAACTCTAGAGAGTGATCGGCCTCCCCTTCTGCCACTTAGGGGCAGGTCCACCCCTTACACCTGGGTTTCTACTATGTGACAGGTGGCACTACTGCGCTGGTTCCTGGGCTCCACCAAGTTCCTTGGTACTCCTGAGATCCTTGCCCTAGCATTCTGGGAGCGATAGTCTCCTAAGGATCAATTTGTATGCTGGCACCAGGCAAGGTCACCTCTCCCAGAGTCCCAGGGCCCCTAGCAACAGGGGAGATGAAATCACCATCTCTGAATCCAGGATGAGCCCTCAAGAAATGTTGTGGGATTCTCACCCAGAGACAGAACACCTGTGCTTTCACCAGGAAGTAGCATTTATTAGTGCGGCACTGGCCCAGCAGGTTCGAATCCAAAGGCTGAGCCCTGAGCGCAGTGGGGCGTTGCCTTATTTACCCTCTCTTAGTTCCTGGTTACATGTCAGCCCCTTTGTCTCCCCAGTGGGGCGTTGCCTTATTTACCCTCTCTTAGTCCCCGGTTACATGTCAGCCCCTTTGTCTCCCCTATGTGGTAACATACATTCTGTGACAGAGCTGCGAAGCAGCTGCACATGTGCACATAGTGCACACAGACTGTGCCACATTGCCTGACAGAGCCGTGCATGCTCACACAGTTACTGAGTGTGCCGTGTCACCTTCCCTCTGTTCTTGGAGAGCCATTACCACACTCAGAGAGAAGGGACCTCAGTCTCCCAGCTATACAGGCTGCTGAGAAGGCTAGCATACCCCAGGATATCCAGAAAGTCCCAGAGAACTGCCAGGTTCTTCATGGCACAGCCTGAACCCTTCTTCACCCATGGTCAGATGCCTGCCCTTTGCCTACCCATCAGTCAGCAGGAACTAGCTGCACAGGTATGTCTTGGCACTCTGTCGCCTTCTCCTATTAGGTGATCTCAGGGAGGGCAGTGTGTGCAGTGGCAGTGGGGTAGCGACTTACCTCCTGGCCCAGCAGTGCAGTTGTGGCAGGGGTGGTAGGCAGAGCCTCCTGTGGGGCCCGCTGGCAGGCCTTCTGAATCTTGTGCTGAACAAAATCTTCCAAGGCAGTGAATTCCACCTGGCAGCGGCCACATCTATGCACATCATCCTCATCTGAAATGAGAACGTTGTCAAGGACTTTGGGGAGGCAACCAGTATCCCATCCAGCTTCCCCTCCAACCCCAGACCAGACTCATCCAACGATGGCAGCAGAACCAGAATTCCTACCCCATCCCTCCCAGAGGCTGCTGAAAATGTGCTTAGGGCACCCAGAGCTAGGGAACATCAGGGTATAGCCCCCATCCTCTGGAAGTCTGCAGAAGCAAGGCTCACAACAGGGAGAAGAGTATTCTGTAGAAGTGGCCCTGACCACACACTCAGGTTGCAAGGATCCAGTGATGCTGTCATGCCCAAGAGCTCCTTAAAGGGAAAGAGGCTCAGGAGGGCCTGAAGCAGAGGGACTTACCCAAGCCAATCTGGGGACAATAAAGGACTAGAATTCAAAACAGGTAAGGACTAGGGATATTGTTTACTTGCCTAGCATAGCAAGGCCCTAGGTTTGATCCCCAGCACTACAGAAAATAAAAAGACTACTGGGGACTAAAAGTGCCCTTGGGCATCTCAGTGACCACCTCTAAGTCATTTCCTCATCTGACCTGATTCAAGTGTGTAGGGCATATCAGGGGCACAGTAGGCTAGCCCACCAGGATCTGCTAAAAGGTCAGCCTTTGGAAAACACAGGAACAGCAGGGCCCTGCCCTATGAATACCCTTACTTTTTGTTGTTGTTGGTGGTGGTGAGGATCAAATCCAGGGACTTGCACATACTAGGCAAGTGTTCCACCACTTGGCTACATCACCAGCCTCCAACCACTCTTTCCTTCCTGACTTGATATTTCATAGATCCCCAACAGGCAGCACCCCTGCTCAGGTGTGTATGCTAAGAGTATAGCATTTCAGAGGGGCTCCACATCCCAGAGCCACCATACTTGAGTCCCTCACCACCACTGTGACTATCCTAAGACCTGCAGGAGAGACTTCCTATTCATTGAATCCTTAATGTGGGTCAGGCACCTTCTGGGAAGTTCACCAAATTCTGCCAGCACCTTGGGGAAATGGATGCCTACTCCCTAACTAAAAAAATGACTTGAGGTTCAAGTTCACACAGATGAACCTGAAGATCCACCCAAAGGTCCTGCTTCTGTAAAAGTCTTTCAGTTCCCACAAAAACACACCCAGTCCCACATCAAATCTAATAAAGGCCTGGTGCATGGGAGGAGGCTGGCCAAAGCTTGTTGAATTAATTAGAGAATAAAGGGCCAGATCATGACTGTGACTCTCCCACCAAATCATCTAAAAAAGGGAAGCCCACCAGATGGTTCACAGTCACAAACGAAGAGCTGAGGTGCCTACCATCCTCTTAACCTCCCACCCACTCATGAGAGTTCAACTTGGCACCAGGGTATCATTTTTGGAGGAACCTCTATAGAAGAACCCAACCCATTTTACTGAGACAAGGCGATAGACAGGTTTAGTTGGGCACAGCAACCACTAGAGGGACCCCTTTCAGGTTGGCCCTGCCCCTCTCCAAGCCGGAATAAGAAGGGGCCAGAAAAATATGTACAGACTATGAAACTGGTGTGAACAAAGCCAAGACCACCTTGACCTCAATATCACTAGCCAATACCTTCCTATATGATCCAATGCACCGATGGGTGGGACAAGTTCAGAGTAGAAACCTAAGAGGTCACCAAAAGCTATAAGTGCCTGATGAATGAGTCCTGAGCATGTCCCAGTACTCTCCTCAGCTCTTTACACACACACGTTAATTCTCATCACCCTCCTATGTGACAGCAGAACCCAGAAACTAAAGGGGCTGAGTTGAGGAACTAACTACACAGTCCTGAAATCCAATCGGGTCCTTGCTAGATGGGTGACCTGGTCACTTGCACATCCATGAAACTCAATTTTCCTCATCCTTAAAGTGGGAGTGAATAACATCATTGACATCTCAGGGTTGGTTTCAGGACCGTAAAGGCTGATGCAGAGTAAGTGCTCGGAACATCTTGGAGACGCCCCTCCACCTTGCTGGAGAGATGGAGGCTGTCTTCCACAGGGATCTGCTGTCTGACGCCCCGACCGGCACAGAGCCCCACCCCAACCCAGTCTCGCCCCAGCCACGAACCTAATGGCCCGCCAGGTGAGGTGGGAGGGGCGGAGGGGGCACGGCCGGTGACGTTTGCTTGGGTCCACTGGGAGGACCGGGGCTCGAGTGCCTACGAGCGCGCACTGGAGGCCTGTGAGTGGTGGGCGCCCCGCAGAGAGGTCCGAGAGGGTCGAGAGGGTTGCGGGGCCCCGCGGGCTCACGAGAAGGCTGGATCCGGAAAGGTCTGCGCGCCCACAGCCCGAGCCGCCGGGCTCCACCAGTCCAGGCTGCGCCTCCCCCACCCCGGCCGCTGCGGGCCCGCCCGACCCCGTTACCTTCCTCGCTGAAGGGCGCTGAGAGGCCGAGAAAGCCGCCTGGAGCCAAAGCCGCTGCTGCGACCCCGCCCTCGCCCGCTTCACACCCGGCTTCGGCCCGGGCTTCTGCCGTATGAGCGGCCGTCACCCGCACTGCCATCGCGCCCTCCATGTCGCAACGCGCCGCAGGAAGATGGCGGATTTACGACCGTGTCGTCATAACAACGGGCGGCTCCGAGGCCAGCGTGAGGGAACTGCGAAAGGGGGACGGGGGCGGGGCCAGTGAGGGTTTGACAGACAGGCGTGAGGGGCGGGGCCTTGGGTGTGGCCTGGAGCGGAGACTGGGCGGGTCTATTGGTTAGGGTGTAGCAGATTGATTGGCGGAGAGATCCGCGGCTTGGGCGTGGTGTGTCCCATTGGGCGTGTCCAGACTGGAAAAGCCTGGGAAGAAAGTGGGCCTGGGTGCCAGGTGTTGCAGCCAGACTTGAGAACCAGAGGAGAAAGAGGAAGGTGCACTGGGTGGCGCAAACCGGCCAGGGTCCTCTGGGGCGGACCCTGTGGGAGGTCGCCCTGCCACAATCTCGAGAGGGCCGTCACCGATTTAGGGTACTAAGGGATCGGTGCTCACCAAACTCCGTCGCCCCCAGAAGTTGTTAACACCAGTCACATGAAAGAACCCTAGTGCAGGATGGCTCATGCGCAGCTTTGCAAAGCGTTTTATTTTATATATTTTTAATTGTGGCAAATACACATAAAGTTTACCATTAGTAAGTGACATTTAGTGTAATCACAATATTGAGCTCACTCATTACCTCTATCTAGTACCAGAATTTTTTTTTTTTTAACCCTGGGGGTTAAACCCAGGGTCTTGCTCACGCTACACCCTCAGCATTTTTTGAGACAAGGTTGCTAAATTACTCAGGGCGACCTCAAATTTGTGATCCTCCTGCCTCAGCCTCCACAATAGCTGGGATTATAGGCATGTTTTACCACTAATGGCTAGTTCCAGAAGATTTCCATTATCCCAAAAGGAAACCTGTACCCATTGAACAGTCATTCCCCATTCTCTACGCCCCTCACTCCAGCTCTGGAAACTACCAATCTACTTGATCTTCATTGATTTGCCTGTTCAGGACATATCATATAAGTGGAATCATACATTATGTACCCTTTTAGGCCTAACTTCTTTGCAAGATTCATCCATGCCCTAGTCTATGTCACTGCTTCATTACTTCGTTACTTTTTTGGGGGGTGGGGGGCTTGCTGGGGATTGAATCCAGGAGTGCTTTACCATTGAGCTACACACTCAATCTGCCTTATTTGGGGGCGGGGGGTGTACCAGGGATTGAACTCAGGGGCACTAGACCACTGAGCCACATCCCCAGCCCTATTGTGTATTTTATTTAGAGACAGGGTCTCATTGAGTTGCTTAGCACCCAGCTGTTGCTGAGGCTGGCTTCAAACTCACAATCCTCCTCAGTCTCCCAAGCTGCTGGGATTACAGGCATGTGCCACCACACCTGGCTCAGTTTACTTTTATTTTCTAAAACTGTAAATCAATGTAACACTATGAAGATTGAATAACATCTGTCCTTGTACTGTCTAAAACCATCCCATATTATACTAGTGCTACTAGCCTCACTTGGGGGAGGGGCACTGGTGCCATTCACTGGCAGGTATATACTGAATGCCTACCATGAACTGGGCACACTTCATGAAGGACTTCTCTCCCATTTACAGAGCCACCCCACCTCTCCACCCTAGGTCAGTTCTCCCCCATGAAGACCAGTGTCCCTTCCAGACTCCTCCACCACCTTGTCCACAACCATCCTCTATAGGCACATAGGCATGCCCAGCAGATGTTAAACCAAACAGACGTGGCACAGCTCAGCTTTGGTTTTGACAGAGCATTATCCCACTTGCATTGTCCCTTTGGTGGTGGCTCTATGTGGCTGTTTCCTGGTCTATAGACAGGGATACTAACACTCCTATCCTCTCAGGGTTGTTCTGTGATTCTGACCAGATCATGCAGGTGAGAAGCAGCACTTGCTTGCTGAATGCTAACTGAATGTACAAGTGTAACCCAAGGTCATTAGGCAAGTGTTGGAGAAGTCTAGCTGCCTGGACATCATCAGTGTTTCCTGTTTTGGCAAGCATATCAAATAACTGGGTGTTGCTGGGTGCTAAAAGCAGAGTTTGTGATCTTTTGTCAAATGCAGTTCTTCCCAGGGTCAGCTTGGCCACCAAACCTAAATATGAAGACCCAAAGAAGAAGGTTTACTCCCAAGAAGTGGGTGCTCTAGGCAGGAACACTTTGCAGGCTCTGCCCTTTTGGGCTGTGGTCCCTGTCCTCTAGGGGTTTCCAGGCCAGCAGAGACCAACATGAATGGGATGTTATATAAATAAACAGTACTACAAGGGAACCCAGTTCACTAGCTTTACCTGATGGGTTTTGGAGTCAGGGTGGGGACCAATCTAGAAGAGGCTTTATAGAGAACTAGGGCCCACGAGAGGAGGAGAGGGTTGACAAACTTGAACTTGGGAGTATAAGTGTCCTGGCACAGGGTTGGCCCTCAGGAAACTGGGAACCACTATTGTTCTGACAGCTGGCCCTAGTGAAAGTGATATTAATAAACATACACTTACCCTATGACCTAAAGATTCCACTCCTAAGTATATTCTTGAGAAATGAGTGCTGAGCACAGTGGCACACACCTGTAATCCAAGCAACTTGGGAGTCTGAGGCAGGAGGATTGCAAGTTCAAACAAGCCTGGAAAAAACAGCTAGACCCTATCTCAAAATACAAAGTATTAAAAGGGCTAAGGATGTAGCTCAGTAGTAGAAAATCTCTGGGTTTAATTCCCAGTACTGCCAAAAGAGAAAAAAAGAAATGAGTGATGTCCACATAGGCATATATAAGAACAAGAATATTCACAAGGACATTATTTACAATAGCCCCAAACTGGAAACAACTCCAAAATCCATCAGTGGAAGGTCAGACATCAGTGGATGGGGGGTGGTATATTTGACAATGGTCCACAGGACAATTAATTAAAAATTTAAAATAAACTATGAAGGATCACAAACATTTTTTTAAACTTTGTTTTGTTTTGTTTTAGCTGTATATGGATACAATATCTTTGTTTTTATTTATTTATTTGTATGTGGTGCCGAGGTTATCAAGTGCTCTACCACTGAGCTACAACCCCAGCCCAGATTTCACAGACATTATGTTGAATCAAGGAACCAAGACACAGAAGGGTACATGTGGTTTATAAAATGGTCTACCAGGGTGTGGTGACACAGACCTGTAATCCCAGTGACCTGGGAGGCTAAGGCAGGAAGATCCCAAGTTCCAGGTCAGCCTAAGCAATTTAGCTAGACTCTTTCTCAAAAAAGAGAGTGTAGTTCAGTGGTAGAGCACCCCTGGGCTCAATCCCCAACACCACACAAAGATGGTCTAGAACAGGGAAACTAGGCTCTGATTCCATATGACAGAAACAAGAACTGTGATTAGTAAAGCTGATGACTGTGTGAGAACATGAGGGGACTTTCTGAGGTGTTGGAAATAGTTCACAGTTGACCTGGCATATAAGTATGTATAAATTTCACTGAGCTGCACATTTGAGATTCACATCCTTGGGGCTGGGACTCAGTGGTAGAGCGCTTGCCTAGCACGTGTGAGGCACTGGATTCTATCCTCAGAACCAGATATCAATGAACAAAACAAAGGTATTGTGTCCATCTACAATTAAAAATAAAACTAAAAAAAAATCACATCCTTTGTGTTACGCCTCAATAAAGTTAATATTAACCGATAATGACGACAATAGCGACCAGTTACTGGGTACTGAGTTCCGCCCGCCCCCTAGACCGCACTCCCACCGCTTTGGAATCACTGGTTCCTGAGACCTGAGGCACAAGGAAAGGTTTGCGCAGAGGACAGGAGGCGAATATACGAAGCTTTTGGGGAAGAATCCTTCCAGGAGCGGAAGGCACACGGCTCACACGCATGCACCGTGTCCCGAGAGTGTCCGGATACAGGACCGCCGAAAGTGAGGACGTGACTCCAACCTCAGGCCGACAGCGGCCCCTCCCGCCACGCTCACGCGGAAAACCCCGCCCGCATGACCTCGAGACTAGCCAGCCAATCAGCAGCCGGCCCGGCCTGGGGTCCCTTAAACATGGGTCTCCGTCACCTAGGCTGACCACCCGCCTCCAATGGGCGAGCTGCCCTACAGCTGCCAATAAGCAGCGGCCTTACGTGTTGCGCCGCTCTCGGACAGCAGCGTCTCCACAGCGAGCGCTCTACTCCGAATGCCGGTTGGCGCCCTGCCAACCAATCACCAATGAGCCCCAAGCCCTGCAGCCAATGGTCTGCCGCTTCCTCGTGTCCGGTCGAGGCGGTTGGAGCCGAGCTCCCTCAGCCCGCAGAAGGCAGAGACGGATTGGTGCACGCAGCGACCAATGAGCAACACGCGCGAGACGCAAGGCCAATGAGCGCTCCGGGGGCGGGGCGGACCCTGCGGCGGGCGGCTGCAAGGAGCGGTCGGTGGCGGCGGCGGCGGCCGGTGACGGCGGCGGGCGGCCATGGCGAAGGCGGAGGCCGGCGGCGACGACGCCCGCTGCGTACTGCTGAGCGCCGAGCGGGCCCAGGCGCTGCTGGCCGACGTGGACACGCTGCTGTTCGACTGCGACGGCGTGCTGTGGCGCGGCGAGACAGCCGTGCCTGGCGCGCCCGAGACCCTGAGGGCGCTGCGGGCCCGCGGCAAGCGCCTGGGTTTCATCACCAACAACAGCAGCAAGACGCGCGCGGCCTACGCCGAGAAGCTGCAGCGTCTGGGCTTCGGAGGCCCTGCAGGGCCCGGCGCGGGCCTGGAAGTCTTCGGCACGGCCTACTGCACCGCGCTCTACCTGCGCCAGCGCTTGGCCGGCGCGCCGGCCCCAAAGGCCTACGTGTTGGGCAGCCCGGCCCTGGCCGCGGAGCTGGAGGCCGTGGGCGTCGCCAGCGTGGGCGTGGGGCCCGAGCTACTGCGGGGCGACAGCCCAGCCGACTGGCTAGCCGAGCCGCTGGAGGCGGACGTGGGCGCTGTGGTGGTGGGCTTCGACCCGCACTTCAGCTACATGAAGCTCACCAAGGCTGTGCGCTATCTGCAGCAGCCCGGCTGCCTGCTTGTGGGCACCAACATGGACAACCGGCTACCCCTGGAGAAAGGCCACTTCATCGCGGGTCCGTGCGCCCCGGGGCGGGAGGCCAGAGGGCGGACTGCGGCCCCTCTCCGCCCTCTGATCCCTTGGCCCCTTCCTTCCTTCTGCCCCGCAGGTACCGGCTGTCTGGTTCGAGCGGTGGAGATGGCCGCCCAACGTCAGGCCGACATCATTGGGAAGCCCAGCCGCTTCATCTTCGACTGCGTGTCCCAGGAGTACGGCATCAACCCGGAACGCACCGTCATGGTGGGGGACCGTCTGGACACAGACATCCTCCTGGGCGTCACCTGTGGCTTGAAGACCATCCTGACTCTGACTGGAGTCTCTACACTCGAGGATGTGAAGAGTAATCAGGAAAGTGACTGCATGTCTAAGAAGAAAATGGTCCCTGACTTCTATGTTGACAGCATAGCCGACCTCTTGCCCGCCCTTCAAGGTTAAAGATTTAGTGTCTTTAATCTCCAGAATAAAAAAAGAAATTCAAAATCACTTAACCAAATCAATAGGTGGAGCTTAGGCATCCACTCATGTAGGTGACCACAGAGTGTAATTGGAGTTAAGCAAAAGTGTTTGTTAGTTTTGTAAGTAAATGTTCCGGGGGCAATGTTGTTTACAGATGCTTATATTTTAAGATGCACTTTTAATCTTTGAAGGCATTGTGGGGATAGGTCCTGGGCCTTGGATGTGTTGGCAAGGGCAGGCATAGCATCTGTCCAGGATTCAGGTAACTTCAGGCCCTGCTGATAATAATGAGGCAGGTCTAGGAGTGTGTCATGTATTTGACAGAAAATTTTATTCAGGGATTAAGCCCCCTTGAAGGGCAGAGGGGCAATGGGGCTGATTATTGTGACTGTTGTGAAACATTTGTACAGAACAGACCAGGCTTCTAACCCCCACCCTGCATGGTCATGCAGCAGAGGAGCAGCTGCTGTGTCCCAGCTCCTCACCTGCAAGGCGGGAATGGAGGAAGGGGCTACTCCCAAGTGGTGTCACCCTGTGTTTGAGGTGTGAGGTGTTGCCCTTACCACCCTCCACCCTCCCCTGCTTCCTTGAAAACCACTTTGATGTCACAATTGTCTGTTCCATTTCAAATGCTCAGGGCTGCGGCTCCTCATATACAGCTGCCCAGTTCTGTAAAATCAGCCCAGCTAAACCTTGGCTATCTCAAGTGTGCATTTAAACCCAGGTGACTCAGACTGAGTGTATTGTCGGCTGAGGGGCCAAGTGGGCATGGATGCCTTTGCTGCAGTCTGGGCTGCTATACAGGGAGCTCAGAGCAGCATTGGTACCAAAAATAATAATTTTTTTCAACTTGTGAACAACTTTGTCAAGTGGTAAATTGAATCTTTAAATGTCTCATAGAGAAAATCCCACTGAAGGCTGCATGCCCTGCAAGCAGCAGCACAGCTAAAGGCATGTACTACTCAAGGACTGCCTGTCATCTGGGGCACCTTCTTGGTGGGGAAGGAGAGAGGTCCCTAAGAATAGGAATTTCTTTTACAAAGCATCCAGTCTTTTCCTATTCTCCTGTCTCCTGGGTTTGGGTGGGGTTAGATATCAGTAGCCCATGAGACCACCTCTCTTGGCCCTGGACTCCCTTGTTGATGGCCAGTGGGAGGATTGGCAGAGCCCACCAGCCAGCCAGGGGTTCTTGACAGGGGCTCTGGCCTTTTCTGTCTGTTCACTGGTTTGCTGACCTTTAGCAGCCTGCTGAGTAGACTCAGCAGCATTTGCAGGGCAGAGCTGGGAAGCTGTTCCTTTCTGCTGACTCCTTCCTGGTGCCTTGCCCTGCACCCAGTGGCTTCTCTCCCAGCCTTGTGGTCATGGTACTCCTTAATCTGTTCACCAAGTTCTCAGAGCAATAAAGGGTATTCCATCCCTGCAGCTGCTCCTGGCCAAGGTGGTTGGGCTGGGGCCATGCCTGTAAGGTTGGTGGTGCTGACGTTGGCTCTGCAAGGTCGGCTCAAGGTGGGTCTGGATATTGAGCAGGCCTGTCAGGGCATTGTCACCCACACCAGGAGCACATGGCAGGTGCAGCAGCCAGCAATGCCTCCCTCTTCTGGGAGCCTGTGTGCACCCCATCTCTGGCCCCTTGCACTGTGTGAACCCAAATGCACATTAAACTCTCAAACCCATGCTGACTGGGTCTTCCTTCCTTTCACGTGTGTAGCAACACCAAGGTGGCCGGTGGCCACTATCTAGCTGCAGGTGGGGGCAGGATGGGAGGTCTGAAAGGAAAAGGCCAGTCTGAGATTCCAATTCCAGAGCCTTCCAGAGCACTGCAGCTTCACCCCATTTCAGGCCTGTTACAGAGTAGGTTCTGAGGATCAGGAAAAGCAGGGTACAAAACCAGAGCAGGATAGGGTCAAAGGGTGAAACTGTGAAAAGCACACACAACTGAGTTACCAAGCATCAGATGGCTGAAGAGAGACCAGGACTAGGGCAGTGAGCAGAAATAAGCCACCCTGGGGCACACACCCGACCTAACCATCCTTGGCAGGTGGGAAACTCCAGGAGGCTGCCAGTTGGTGACCCAGCCTGGAACTCTCGCGTCCCAGGCACGCACTCTAAAGGATGCCCAAAGCCCTGTGTGGTATTGGAGGGGGCTGGGAAGCTGTTGATAGGCACCAGGAGGGGAGGGAAGCAGTGCCCATCTGTATACTAGTGACAATGAATAGGCAACAGTCTGTATTTGTTGAACAGTTTGTATTTAATGACGGCTCCCTGGGTGCCAGGGACCATGCCCACCTCTGGGAGTCTGCAGGTAACTGAACTGGAAACAGACTCTAAGACATCAAATCTGTCCCAACCAGACAGAATCATTTGGCTGGGCCTGGGCTGCCTGCAATGAATCAGCTGGACAAGATTCCCACTGAAGCCTGCAGACCTCATATTGTTCTGTTGGTACAAGATAGGTGTCAAGAGCCAGGCCTGATGACTGGCATCCTCAGTGGGAGAGAGGGCTGTCCTAGCTCTGACCTGGACATCAGATACTGAGCTGGGGAGGAGGCAGTTGTTTGGCTCATCAGAGTCATCCTGAGGTTTTCCGGGCCAACTCCTCCAAGGGGCTGCAAACAATCAGTGCATTGTCGGCAGGGGCTGCAGCATGGAGCAAGGAAGCAGCCACACAGAGAGCCCCAGGCCTGGGCCTGCAGAGGTGAGTACCTCTATCATTGTTGGGACAAAAACCTGGGGATGTCCAGGGCAGGGGACAGGAGTACCACCATCTACCCCACCTTATCCCCTCTTTTCCCTAAGCAAACCTGCTCCCTGGTCTCTAACTCAATAGCCTCACTGACTGCAGTATGCCCCCAGGTGAAGACCAAGCCCTGCCACTGGGGCTGGAGAGCTGCAAGCCTGCTGTTATTGCTGCTGGCACTGGCTACTGCAGGGGCTGTGGCTGGAGGGCTTCTTGGGTTTGCTCATAGCCCTTCCAAGGTGAGCCCCACCTGAGGCCCAGGGACATGGGCAGTGGGAAGGGGTCAGGGAGGTTGGTCTTCCAGTGGAGCCAGGACCCAAAGTAGGCCCTAATACTGGCCTTAGAGCAGAGTACCAGAGGGTGGAGAGGCCCATTCACATGATGTTGAAATGCTGCAGCCCAGGGATAGGGGCCTATGGGGCTGCTCAGCCTGCCCAGCTAAACTCCCACTTCCCATTCTCAGTCATTGCTGCAGATGCTCCGGCTGACCTTCCCAAGCCCCCAAGTGCCCTGGTCCAATCAAACCACCATCGTGGACGTGGCCCAGAATATGGCAACCATTATAGTGACTCCACCTCAGAGCAACCGCAGCTGGGCAGTGCTGTTCGACGGGCAGAGCGTGAGTGGGTGGGGAGGGGATCAATCCATAGGTGCTGGGGTGGCCCTGCCTCACCCACCTGCCTCCCCAGGGCTGCATCTGTTACCGCCCTGCAGAGCACCAGGCCTGCTTTCTCCGCCTGATGGAGGCCCGAGATCGGGAAACCCTGCAGCTGCTGATGAACACCTCCAGGGTGAGCATGGTTCCACCACCAGGCCAGGGGCCAGACAAAGGGTCCTGTGTGTGGCCCAGCTGGGGCTCTGGTTTCAGGCAAACAGAAAGCTCTATCTTCCCTTAGCTGAGGCTGCTGACAAAAGTAGAAGGTGGGGCTGGCAGGTGGGTGTGGGATGTGAGTACCTGCCCAGCCAGGAGGAGGGAAACCCCCATGCCATAGCCCACCACAGCCTTTCTGCAGGCCCAAGGGTCTCTCAGCCAAGGTCATGACACCCACCATGCCCAGGAGCTGCTGGCAGTGCTTGGGAGCCATACTGTGGATCCTGCCCAGGTGGGGGCTTCAGTGCAGCACCTTTGTGCAAAGACCCCCATCTACTGGGCCCGTCAAGCTGAGGGTGAGTTGGGGCAGGATGTGTGGAGGGGCTGTGTGGCTCCTGCAGAACAATCTACAGAACTGCGTAGGAGTGCTTTGGAAATTCATGAGTCTCCCTCCCACCCAGGGCCCCAGAGGCAGCGGCTGATCTATCTCTGCATTGACATCTGCTTCCCAAGCAACATCTGTGTGTCTGTCTGCTTTTATTACCTCCCAGACTAAGCCCTCTGCCTGGCCCAGCCTGGCCACTGCCCCATGGACTACCCATGGTCCCACAGGCTAGTTAAGTTGGCTGTGTCACCAGCACCTGGAGGGAAGCTGCTGACAGGGACTAATAAACAATTCCACCTGGCCATGGTGGTGGTCTCTGGGTCTTTGGGCCCTGAACAGGGGCAGAAAGGAGAAGGAGGGGGAGGAGGAACATGACTTGGCAGGTGGGCACCAGCTTGGGTCCTCTCAGAAACTCTAAACCCCATAAGTCCCACATCCCAGATGGGAGTGCAGGCTCTCCCAGCCCAGCCATGTACGTCCTGAGTCAGTGGGCAATTGGGCAGGCCTGGCAAGAGGGAGGGGTAGCCCAGTCAGTCCAGCTAGCATGGTGGGCAAAGGCTAGTCTCAGAGTTTCACTCTGACCTGAGTAGTATACAGGTCCAACAAGCTACAGCCACTGCACCAGGCAGTCCCAGCTGCCCAGTTGCTGGCTGTGATCCTGAGGGGCAAGGGCTAACCAAGCACACTGTCATTGAACGCCAAACAGACGACAGCTTTCTGGTGGCCACCATACTCTCTCTTAATCTCTCCAGTCTCCACACACCAGAGCCGGGCCAGGTTGTCAGAGGAAGCTGCAAGGAGGGATTAGGCAAAAGCTCAGAGCCAGGACAGCTTAAGGCAGAAGAGCAGCAGCAGCTGTCATGAGCCACTCTGGAGGCCAAAGCAGGAAAACAAGGCTCACCTGTAACAATGTACTGAGAGTCCCCTGAGAAGGCACAGCCCCACATCCAACCTCGAGATGACTCCCCAGGATTGCTGCTCTTGATGCTGAGCTCTGTCATCAGGGAGAAGTTGGATGTCCTCCAAATCTTGCATGTCTGGTCAGCTGAGCAGGTGGCAAGGAGCCTAGGATGGGTTTAGAGTATGGGGTGTCATACAATAGCCATCCCCACCTGAACCTCCTGCCATGCATTAGGCCAGATCCATCATTCGCCCAGTCGCAGGCAGATCCCCTCCTGGGTTACCAGGTCCTACACGCACGTGGAATCAGGGCTGAAGCGGCACTGCAGGGCATAGCGTGTATGAGCTGGTATCTTGGTCTTGGGGATGAGCTGGGTCACTTCATCACCAATGCCCCCTGTCAGATTCCAGACGTAACAGTTTCCCTATAGGGCAAGAAGGAAGTCACTTGAAACCCTGAGTCTCAGAGAACGCTCTGAGGGCTAGACCTGAACCCAAGATCCACCAACACTAGGGATCAACATACACAAGAGTCCTGGGCCAGGGCATGCAGGCTGGCATTTTGGGTCCTTCCTATATGAGGCCCCTGTGAAGCCTGACCTCAAACAAGGGCCATGTCCAGCCAGCCAAGTGTAGGAGGCCATGCTGGCCAAGGACTCACATACACCTTGGCTGCTGGCCAATGGAGCTATGCAGAAGGAAAGGAGAGGAAAGAACTCAGAGTGCCTCAGGCCAAGGCTATGAGGAGGGAGGACTGGGGCATGGACAAGTGAGGCATTGGAATCTAAGTGAAGTGAAGGGAGAAAAATGTAATTGGAGAGCAAGAACTGAACCTCAGCATTCCACTGGCTTTGGGCAGGAGTAGGGGCTTCTTGGGATCTAGCTGACGGAGATGGATCAGGGGACCAAGGGAAGTCAGAGAAAAGGAAGGGAAGCCACAGAGAAGCTAACAGTATTAGGATACTCAGGCCAGGAGGTGACAGGGAGAAAAGAAGAAAATGGTCAGCCTTGAGAGATTCTAGAGACCGAGGAACCTGGCCTGAGAGGGCTACGGCAGGCAATGAGGGGGACATTAAAAATGGTACCCAAGTTCATGGCTTTGGGGGATGGATGGGTGTTAGAAACTGGGGAAGGGGCCTAAGGAACACCAGGGAATGAATCCATCTGCAGGGGATAGGTGGCTGGGTGCTGAGCTGCCCCTGCCTCTGCATTCCCCTCCAGGACTCACAGTGCTATTGACTGCTGCCATGTAGCTAGCATCAGGGTCAATGTGGGCAGATGTGATGGAGACCTCAGGTTCAGGGATCAGCTGCTCATTGTGATCTGTTTTCAGATCCCAGATGTGGATAGCACCGCTCTGGTCACCCACGATGAGCTCTGCCTGGGGGTGCAGGGGAGGTGAGGTGTGGCAAGACCGTTACTGTGCCCAGTCCCATGAGTAATCACCCCTCACCTGGTTGGGATGCAGGCACACACAGTTAATGGGTGCATTCACCTGGAAGATCCGCTGACACTGCAGGTTCCGAGACCTGTGGGGATGAGGTTACACATTGTCTCTGGTGGATGCTGTTGGTACCCCACCAGATGCCCTCTCTTGTCGCCCTGATGATGGGAGCTACCTTATAGGGAACACTTGTGAGGTTCGGTCCTTCACTCCAGGCAGTAGCCTGACACCAGTGACTGACAAGGGGGATGAAAGCCTGTCCCCTTGCCTCAAGGCAGAGCTAGTTCTTGGATGCAATTTCCTCCAACCTGTTTTTCTTCTTCCCTCCATAAATCACCCACACAAACCCCCCTGGATTAGCCTCTTCTTGGAGAGAATCTACCCAAAGATGGTCCCTTGGCCTGCCCCCCTCACCCTTGGATAGTGGGCCCCTCCTGCCCAACACCCGACACCTGAGATCCCAGATTCGGGCTGTGCAGTCCTCCCCGCCTGTGTACATCCAGCGGCCGTCCTCATGAAAGCCCACAGATGCTATGTTCTTATTGACTCCGTCATAGCTGATGATGGGATTGGGGTTATTGGAGTTGAGATCATACATGCGGATGTGCTGGTAACCTAGAGACACAGGCTGAACTGAAGAACGGTTATGCCCAGGTTGACCTGCTAGAGGTCAGGGATCAGAGGTCAAGAGTCACAGTTACCTGCAGCAGCAATCATGCTGCGATCTGGGGTGATCTCCAATGCATTCACCTGCTGTGTGTGTTAAGGAGGATGATGGGAAGGGAACCCTGAGACTAGGGGTCCTCCAAGGCCTCCACCACATGGCTTGGGCTGCTGCCTACTTCCCACCCCAAGCCATCAACCCCACCTGGTTATCCAGCCCAGCACCATCCAGCCCACCACCCAGGTGGAGGATACGGAGTCCTGGTGCTGCACAGTGCGAGTGCAGATTCCACTGTGGGCCTGCCAGAACCGCACAGTGTGGTCATAGCCCGCGGTAGCCAAAATGACCGGGTCACTGCCCACTGTGCCTGGGGATGTGTTCATGGTGCAGCTGCTGGGAAGAATATAGCCTGTACAGGGCCGAAGAGCTGATGGGCAAGGAGCAAAGTTCAGAGCATCTGGAGGGGAGAAAAATAGTATTTAGGGGATGCCCTCTGCGTCCACACGGAGCTCAGAGATATGTATTAATCTGACTTTAAAGACCGGGAAACTGGCTCATACAGGTTCTGGGACGCGCACAGCAGGCGAGAGACCATTGGGGACGCCAAGCAGTCTGCAGTCGGCAGGGGGCAGTCACGCGGAGCACCTCTGCCGCAGGGGCGGGCCGCGCACGCGCAGGCGGCGGGAGTCTGAGACACCCGAGCGCTACGGCTGCGCATGCGTAGCTGGCCGATGGCTAGACCTGATGGGAGGGGGCGTTGGCCGTCTGGACCCTCGAGATCCCCTAGACCCCGCTGACTGTCTTGCCTTCCTTCTGCTGGCTAGCTTCCCCCGACCGCGCCCTCCTAGCCACCCATAAGCCGATTCCCGGCCCTCGTCCCACGGCCTCCGTACCTTACACGCACTCCGCATTCTACCGTAGTCCAGGACGGTGATGGGAGCGGGAGCGAGTCGATAGAGGCCGGGGAGGAGCGTAGAGATATCGATGAATCTTCAGGGCGAGACCATGGGCTCGGTAGGAGGAGAGGACGAGACCAAAGTACTGGGGCGGGGACTCCAAGAAAACCTAGGGGAGGAGCAGATGCTAGTCGTGGCTCGGACCTCAGGCTCACTCGGCACCCAGCCCCCCTGGCGCAGCTGCCCATTTTGAGGCTTGGGCCCCAGTCAGTGTCGCGCCATCCCCTTGTCCTCCCCGACCCACTGCTCTACCATGCTAGGCTGGGATTGCCAGGCAAATTACAGAACTTGAATTTCAGACAAGCAACAAATATCTTTTTATTGTAAATATATCCCAAACACTGAGTGGGATACAGTTATACCAAAAACTTACTTGCTTATACAAACTCAAATGTGACTGGTTATTCTGTAGTTTAATTTGCTAGATCTGGCAGCCCTAGTCCAGGATCTTTCAAACCTATCCAGCCCCATTCTGAGTCTTGGTGCACCTAGCTCAGCCCAGGGATCCCTTTACAATTGTAGACCCTCATACCTGCTTTTCCATTCCAGCCTTCTGAACCCAAGCACGTGGCCTCAGCCCTTGAAACTGGCTCCCTAGGGTTTCTTACCACCACACTTGTGGACTTGGCTGCAACCCCCTTTTCCTGTGCCCACACAGCAGGTGGATCTGGCCTCTTGACTGATACCAAGTCCCTGGCACATCCACCCAGACTCTGGGTCCCAGGAACCCTCCTTTCTAATACCATGCCCACCTCTACTTTCTAGCCTCTAGTCTTTTAAGAAACCCCACATCCTCTCCTTATATTTTCTATTCTCCCCTTCAAAGAACTGTCCTCACCTCTTGCTAGCTCCACTTCCCTGCCCCTGCTCATTCCCCAACTTTACCTCCAGCTCGCCAATGAAAATTCTTCAAGGTCAGCAGCCATTACACTTTGCCAAGTCCAATGGATACTTTTTCTCCCACTTTTTGACACATCTGTATAGTGGTTTACAGCATCACGCCTGAAAATCTTCCATTTCCTTGCTTAGTGTCCTGGCACCAGATCTTTCTCTGCCTTCCTGCAGAGACTAATACCCTCCAGAAATCTCTCTGCAACACAAAATTCCTGGGGGCTCACAGCCACCAGCTCCATGGCTTCCAATGCCATCCTTTCTTTGAGGGTCTTTCCATCCTGTCTCCAGTCCTAGCAGCTTCTGGAGCCTCAGCCCTTGAAACACATTCAGCTGTCTGTTAAACGTGACCCCTTGCCAGGTGCAGTTGCACACATACAATCCCAGTGACTCAGGAGGCTGAGGCAGAGAGATTGCAAATTCAAGGCCAGCCTGGGCAGCCCTGA